ATGAACTAAAGATATTTTCTTTAAGCTGCTTTCCAGAATCAGAGTATGGTAGCATGGAATGTAGGTGCCTTTTCCTTACACACAGAACCGTATCAGGAAGGTAAAACATTAAGATGGAAAGGATCCACAAAGAAGGGAATTGACAGATGGCGTCTTCTCAGGTAAATGTATGTACAAGGATGTGAAAATTTAAACGTCCATAGAGAAATTATTCAGTTACAGAGCTGAACAATCACGGTAGCTCCAAACTGTATGAAATCTGTTTTCATATTTTAATATTTTAATAGAAATTCTTTATTGTCACTCTCATTTATATTCTGTATCTTGGTTTCTACTCTTCCCTGTCTCTTATTTCCTAGTATAACTTATCTACGTCAATGTATGCTCTGAAAGATTTATAACATTGCTGATGAATATTGATACTCAATTCCTACTGAGGACAACTTCTGATGATATTTGTCACTGAGAAAAGGCACAAATTTCATGAGGATTTTAGATGTTGGTCACTTTGATCTCTGTTAAAAAGTCACAACATCCTTCCTCTTAACACATAATATTTAAAATATGCAGATTGGTTACTGATAATACAGCAAGTTATTTGGTTAAATAATCCTTCCTTTGTGGCAAATAAGGTGTCAAACCTTCATCACAAGGGGAAACAATTTTCATTTCAGAGTCTGTTGAGTTTCAAGGATGTGGCCATCAATTTCTCCAAAGAGGAATGGGGATTCCTGAATACATCTCAGAGGGATTTGTATAGAGATGTCATGTTGGAGAATTATAGCAACCTGGTTTCTGTCGGTAAGAATAATCATTTTTTTCTGATAGCTGCTAACCCAAGGACTGTCTAGCAACTTGTATTAGTATTTTGAAATGTTTTCTATGAATGAATGTTAGTTCCCAACTATTCCTAGATATTGGTGAGTGAAATAGTTACTGTAATTTTTCTTATATCATTTTAAAATTTCTTTAAATTAGCCTAACAGGTAACTAAATCACATGTGTTATTTATTGTTGTTTTTTGTTTTAATTCATTAGCAATAATGTGTGAATGAAGTTTGAATCTAAGAGTTTTATATTTTAATTGTGTAATGAAAGGGAAGTTGAAGGTACATAAATTAAAATTAATTACTTAATAGTTTACAACACCTGTCAATTATGTACTAATATGACTTCACTTGAGTCTTTCTTTATGTTCCTTTAAGTTCACCAAGTATAAGCCTGTGTTATAACATGACTGTTTTCCACATTATGTAAAGAAATTATCACTTATCTCTTCTATTTCATGGGCCTTTCTGAATCAAAACCAGAGCTAGTCACCTGTCTTGAACAAAACAAAGAACCTTAGATGGTGAATATAGAAGAATCAGAAGGCCCAGAACCAGGTAAGTTGAAGGGAAACAATGGTTCATGCGTGGAATACAAAAAGAGGGAAAAAAAAGAAAACAGTTGTAGTGGTATTTTCCCTGCTCCTTACTAAAAGTGATACCTAGGTATTTCTTTTAGAATTATATACTGGGATAGAGCACACAGAAGGTATTACAAGGTTTCACTTCATTTAATCAGAATAAGGATTAGATAAAATTTAGTATTCTCATAGCAATTTTGCAATGTACGTGTGGCTTTTATTTATGTTCCAATATGTCTCAATTTTTCTGACGTATGTCAGTGATAAATGGATTACTTTTTCTAGTGTTTGTCTATATTTTGAAGATTTTTACCATATATCTGGATCAGTTTCTTTCTCTTGCCATATTATGTAACCTTGCTTTACTACCTTAACCCTATTCATGATGCCCCTATCCATTGTTTCTCTCTATCAAAATATTATTAGAAAATACATAAAAATAGAGGGGGGAAATATGTTGGCCAAGTGATTTGGAACAAAAGTCTTTGAATATGATTGCTGTACAATGTTGTTAATCAACTGAAGAACAGATTTTCCTTCTCTTAGAAACTAGGGAGTAGGAAATCTTGTCAAAGCTTTATGACTTTGGATTTACTTTCCATGAACATTCTCAAATTTTTATTGTCTTGAGCTTGTGTGTGTTTTGTACTTGCTGTCACAGACTTGGCAGTTGTATGTTCATAGTTTCTATACTTTTGTAAACTTCTGAATCACTACAGTCATATCCTGTTTCTTTCGTTTTATTTTCTTTCTGAGTCTAATTATTTCATTTATTCATGGGTGTCTGCACCCTTATCGGAGTATAAAGATAAAAGAATCCCAGGTAGTGTTTAGTTTTCCAAAATGTCAGTATTAAGGTTGTGCAGTGAAGGATGAGTGAGTCATACATCTGTGGGTATAACAATATAGTATTACATTAATACCATATTCCGTAAATTGTGTAATAATAGTTTTTTATGCAGGGCCCATGGCCAGTTTGGTGTCAGTTTCTTGGCTCTAAGAACAGTGTCAGATACCGGTTCTAACAATCGAGTTGCCAGTAACAGTCAAATTTTCATTAGTTATATCTAACACATCCCTGTCACTTTTGTACATATCTTCTAGGTCAGTCAAAATATGTGGTCACATGGTCTAAAACTTGGAAAATTGATGAATGTGCTCCCTTGTGAAGCATGTACAGTACTTTCCAGCACTTCAAATGCATTTCAGTTGGATTGAAGTGGACAGTAGAATAAAA